AATACAAAGAACTAGTTACAGAAAATAAAAGTTCATGTTTTATACAACCTCTGAAACATAGCAATATAAAATGCTAGCCTTGTTATATTCTTAAGATGTAGTGTAATGTGTATAAGTGCTATTACTTATTCTCAACAAATCCTGCTACCTATATAAATTTCAAAATTAAAAATACACAACTAGAATTGTAGCAAAGTTTCAAAAGTAGATGGCTCCTATTGACCATAACAGTTCATAACTGAAAGAGAACAACCAGTTAAACAGCATCCCTTCAAATGCTATTTAACTGTGTGTGATGCTGTCTAGGTGTGTTACACATTATGCTAGAACTACCATGAGGCGCTAGGAAGCGAAGCATGATCATTGTATACAGGGACAAAATTGTTCTCACTATGTAGGGCTGGAAACCCCATCCAGAAAAATCTTCATTCTTACTCTTGCTAAACTGTTTCACTTACATTTTTTTTCTAACTTTGTAAAAGGCATCAAAAATCCATCAGTAATCATCCTTGATTCAAAAATCTAAAAATCATCCTCAACTCCTCTCTTTTTCTTATCCCCACAGCCAATCCATCACCAAGTCCTATATATTCTTCTTCCTAAATGGAGCTCAAAGCTGACCGCTTCGCTTCTCTGTTGCCAGTATAAACCTTGAACAGACTAATAAAATAGCCTCCTTCCAAGTATCCCTGGTAACACTTATGGCCCCAACAATTTATTCTTTGCAAAGAATGTGACTGAAATTCTCCAATAACTCCTGTTATATCCAGCCCCCAATATTGCTGTCCTCTGGTTTCCCAATCCCCAGCAACATTGACTGATCTTCAAAATGACAAGTTGTACTTTCCCCCCAGAGTATATATAGTTGATATTCCCTTCTCATGGAAAGTTCTTCCCTCCAAATCTTCACATGACAAGAAGCTCCTTCTGGTCATTCAGATCATAGCTCAATGCCAATTCTTCAAACAGGACTTCCTGGAGCATCCTATCAAAAGTAACGCTCCTTCCCTGACAGTCCATTCGCTTGGTGATGGGTATATAACCCAGTTATCTCTTTAGAATGTAAGCTCCTTAGGGATAGGGATCTTATGTATGTACTTTTCACAGGTATATAGGTACTCTATCAATATTTTTGAATGCACGCATGTATAAATAAATAGTGTAATAGAGGGGAAGAGTCACCTTTTTCCCACTCTTCCTTTTCACTAACATTTCTCATGACACTCCCAATTTTGCCATAATTAGGCAAAATTACTAGGAATCAGGAAGTGAATAACACAAGGAAGTGTAGTCTAAAGAATAGCATTCAAAGGGTATAGAGAAGAGCTGGGAGAAAAAAATCTTAATTTAGGAAGAGAAGAAAAGCAAAGTTCTCACTCAAGAGAACTGGCCCATCCAAGTCAGAAATATACAAGTAAGAAAGTGCCCATGATTTACAAAGTATTGGGTAAATTGTGTTTTCTGAGTTGAAATATTTAAAATCCACTAGAAATGTGTTACATAATTGGTTAATCCTCTTAACAGAACTTATATTAGGTAAAAGTGAGGATTTAAATCTATGAGTTTACATAAAGCAGTACAGGCATGCTGTTAACTGACATGAGAAGCACTATGGGATTTCATCTTTTTCACAATTGAAGCATAAATAAGTAATCAGGGTAAATGAGATCAGAAAATACACTGCTGACATTTCAATGGAAATTAACCTCAAACAACAGATTTCTTAGATAGAGTAGTGGTTTCACAGTATCGTAAATATAATTAATTCGACACAATTGAATTTTTAAAAATGCTTAAAATGCCAATTCTTAGGTTATATTTGTTTTGCCACAATGGAAAAAAATTTGAAAAAAAAAATTTAAATAAATAAAAAAGAAAGAAAGAAAAGATTTCTGAAGAAATATCTCTTAAATCTTAGCTCAAGGAAACTTTAAAAGGTAGTGAGAGTATTTGTGTAAAACTTTAGAAGAGTTTAAAATTATATATTCATGTAAGTTGGTCAATGACTTTTAAAAGTAAAAATGTAATTATGCAATACACATAATTGTTTTGTTTTAATTGCAAAAATTATATTACTCGACTGTGATTAGACCAATACATAATATGGGAAAAATTTGTTTGTTTTACACAATTACATAATATTGGAAAAACATGTTAACTAGCCTATTAGTAATCAGGTTCTTAATGCAGCATCTTTCCTAGTGTCTTTGTAAAATGTAACATTCATTAATTATTAGAAAAAAAGGCTTCCATCAAAAATAGCACTGATTTAGAAACTACTATGTTGCAACTAAGAATTTCTATTCTGCAATATGCTTTCAGATGCAAATGTGGAATATCAGATAATTTCTTGTGTTTTTATAAGTTAATCTTCAGTATTTTTTTTGAGTATCTTCTTTTTTATGCAAAATGTTTTATTGTTAAGTAAATGTAATTAGCATGTCTACCTAAACAAAATATCGCATACCTACCATAGTAGACTAAGTTTTAATCTTTTTGGTATTTATATTCTGAAATACAATCTAACAAAAATGAGATTAGAAAAATTAGAACCTTTTGCAATCCATGCAATTCATCGCAACAGAGAGTCTGAGGATAGACGAAAAGGTTCTTCATGAAGTTCTTTCTCCCTCTGGCTACTATGATCTTTCCTACATCTCACCCTCCTTCTTTACCTATCTTCCTTCAGGTCACAGCTCAGACATAACTTCCACAGCTACACTATCCCTGATGACCCAGAGTAGCTTCAGTCCCTCTTTTGACCTGACAAATAATTTCTGGGAACATTTATACCAGTAATTAAAATTATAAAAATTAGCTGTCTACACATCTGTCAAAGTTAGATCTCTTCTACTAAAGTGCAAGATCCATGAGGGCAAAGAGTCCCTAATACCCATTAAAGCAAGGGTATTATTCAGGCTTTTATTCATTTTTAATTTGCTATAATTTTTCAATAAGGGGATCTTGTTCTTTACCCTGTTCCTTAGAAATTATATGACTTGTACATAACTTAGATGCAACTTTACCTTGAGACTCTATTTTTAACAATCCAGGTGTTGCAAATGCATAAGACAATTTGGAACTCTTTGTTCATTTGATAAAAGCTCTGCCTGGGGAAACTTATGTTGAGTGAAATAAGCAAAGCACAGAGGGATAAATACCACATGTACTCACTCATAAGTGGGAGCTAAGAGAGAAAGAAGGAAGGAAAGAAAGACCACACTGGTGCGTTGGACTTGCAGAGGGAAAGAACATTCCTTGGGCTACAAAGTGGAGTGGAGGAAAAAGGGGGGGAGAGGGTAGGGACAATTGGGTGGGGGGCATGGGGTACAAATGTAATTTGTCTTAATGGACATGCTGCCGGTATGGATCTGACCTTCACATCTTGGGCACGAGGGGTGACAATCAGCTTTGTATCTCATGAATATTCATAACCAATAAAAATAAATATATAAATAACACTAAAAGAAAAAAAAAAAGCTCTGCCTGCTCAAAATATATGTTCACTCCTGGTCTGATTCCTGCATACAAGATCTCCAATTTTCACCATTTAAGAGAAGAAATAAAGAAGTAGGCAATATTTCTAGAACAGCATTGCTAAAGTGGTTTAATACATCTTATCTTAGATATTACTTAAGATTAAAAGGAGAGCTAACCTTCTTCCCTAGCCTTTAACCATTGACCTATTGGGAAGGATTTACTTAAACATTTTCACTTCAAGAGCAAGGAGAACTTATCTATGAAAAACTGAAAATGTGGGCCAATTCGTTTTGACAAAGAAGTAGAGGCAATGACTAAGGAAGACTACTAACCCATGGATGCAAAACACTTAGAAACTGGGGCAACCCAGAGCACCCTATGAGGATGCGTTGGTGAAATACACTGGTGGAAGTGAAAACAGGACCTGAAAAGGGAAAAAAGGATTCCACAGACTCTATCATTTTGAGTTGAATGAGAGCAATACTGAGAAAAGACTTTCTTCCTCTAGAAATGTCTAATGAACATTCTACCCTGGTGAATGATTCTAGACTCTGAACATACACAGGGTGCAGCCTACTCTGACTATAGGAAAACTTGAAAGAAAGAGAGGGAAAAAAAAGATACTCCACAAATACTTATGATACATCCAGGCCCATCTTTCATGGTAATAGAAATTCCCTTTACAAAAAAAAAAAAAGTTGCCTCAAAATATGCAATGTATAAAACATAAAATCCAAATCCCAATCCCAAATATAACCCTCAAAAATCATTTTCTTAGCATGATTACATATATGTCTTTAACGTGGCGAGGTACCAAAGTAAAGTGGTCTCTGTAGGAAAGTTGATTTTATTCAGGTTAGGAAAATATATATTTAAATATTTGATATAAAGGCTATTAACATTCAGGCTAATTAGGTAGAGAACCTAGAAAATAGCCTGAATTTATTAACAAGTTAATTTTAATAACATAAAAAATGTTGAAAGTTGACATAAAGAGAATCTACTCCAAAACTTATGTAAATGTAAAAGTTGAAAAACATAGTCATGACATAACGTGAGGTAACATGACAGTCATGTTAATGTTCAAACCATTCAAACCAAATTTTTAGGCTTAAAAATTCGCATGGGAGAAATACTGCTAAATTTCTTTACAGAGTACTGATGACTTTAGGAGCAAAAGGGCATTTTATACCCGATGTTATTGAATGTAAATGTGACTCTTCTAGCTTCTTTCACACCATGGCAATGAAATATCTAACATGGGAGAAATACTGCTAAATTTCTTTACAGAGGACTGATGACTTTAGGAGCAAAAGGGCATTTTATACCCAATGTTATTGAATGTAAATGTGACTCTTCTAGCTTCTTTCACACCATGGCAATGAAATATCTACATAATGCTGGCATAGTACACAACTGATACTCAAGGCTAAGGGAATCTTTACATTAGGTTTCATTCTATATATGTTTCATGAAATGTTATGGAATCAAAGTATATTAGTATCCATTGCTATATTTACCATCCTCGTCAGTCAGTACACTTATGGGTGCACTCCGAACTCCTTCACCTTTGAGTGTACTAGCAGACACATCAATCATATATTGGGTGTATTTCTTCAGTCCTAAATAAAAATAGAATAGATAAGTTGACAGTTACATAATATTTTTTAATAATATGCAAGAGGCAAACTATAAAATGGCTCTCAACTCAACAGTCTTCCAAAAGTAAAAAGTGAATGAAAAAGTATTTCTTTGGCAATAGTAACTCCTATTATGAAGACAAAACACTATAGGATAATGTGAAAAAGTATTGACATAGAGTATTCTTTCATGTGGCCTGCAATAAACCCCTAGCTAATTTAACCAAAAAGACATAATTGTCATACCTGTATGAAAATAATTGCACTTAAGCCTTTTATAACGAAACATTAAGCTAATATTTTGTGACGACACTGTCCATATAAATGTAAATATCCAACATTAGATTAGTTATTTTACCTTTAATACTCTGAGTCAAAGAGGTTGTATTTATAGTTCTTTCCTCATTTCCATTACTTCTCTTGAGATAAATTGTATATTGTTGTATGATTCCATTGGGGCTACTTGGGGGAAGAAATGATAGCTCAATCTCTCCAGAAGAAATATTTTTGTAAGTAATATTTTCTGGTGCACTATCAGGCACTGGAAGAAACAAAAAATATAAAAAATTCCATCCTAAAAATCTATTCTGCTAAAATTCTCATGCAAGTGCACTAGGTTATTTATGCACAAACATTCACTAGATTGTGATTATAATAATCATCCTAAAAATAGTAAGGTGTAGATAAACTACAACATTTATGGCTGTATAAGAAAAAATTTATCTCCCACAAAAATCCATACTATGATTCTACAGAATAACACAAGATGAAATGTTTATTAAATGACTTAAGACTGTAATAAGCTGTCTTGCATTTCAGAACATGCAAATGCAAGAAAGAAAACTGAAAAACATTTAAAAATGATATTGCCCTTCATTAATAATAATATTTAAATAGTTAATAGGTTAGTTTGGTCCACAACAAGATCTATGACAAGGCATGGAACCTCTCCAAGATATGAGATTGCATAATATGACCTGGCAAAAAAATCATCTCCTAAGGATAAAGGATATCATTGAATAAAGCACTAGTTTCTGTCTCTAATAACATTCTTGTTGCATTCAATGTAATATTCATAAAATAATTCTCTATGTATATTCAATTACAAAAACTTTACATGAGATTCTAATTCAGGCAAAATATTGAAATAGATACCCCAAACTGAATAAATACCCTATAAATATTGTACTTAAAATAACTAAAACTCTGTATAACATTAAAATAAATTTTATGGAATACTATTCAGCTACAAAAAAAATGATATCCTATCATTTACAGCAACATGGTTGGAACTGGAAACCATCATGTTAAGTGAAGTAAGTCAGGCACAGAAAGACAAATACCATATGATATCTCACTCACGTGAAATAAAAAAAAATTATTCTCATCTCATAGAAGTAGAGAGTAAAATAATGGTTACCAGAGGCAAGGAGGGAAAGGGGGCTGGGAGGAGAAGTAGCGGACTGATGGGTACAAAACTATGTTATGTACTCTAAGTGAATCATTGTGCAGTATATGCATGTATTAAAACAATACACCATAAGCCACAAATATGTACAAGTAAATGAGAAAATATTTCGAATGAAAAAATTACAAAGCTGGCAAGGAAGTTAAAAATCAGCGGTGGCCAAACAAACAAAACAACAACAATAACAACAAAAAGTAAAAACAGGAATCCTGAGAAGGAAGCTGGTGCTAAACTCTACTTTGATTTGGAGAGTTCTAGTTAATACCAGTATCTTTGAATTTCTGTATTAACATCACGGTAGAGTGCCAGAGAGAGAATGTAAAGCCTCGGGCCATTTGAAGTATAATGGATACCCCTGCATAAAGAGCTAGAACCCCAAAAGAACCAGGACCATCATATTAAACAACTCTAGGGGAACACCTTGAATTCTTCTGCAGGTAGGTGCCATAGAACTCCACAAGTGGGGCCGGCCCGGTGGCGCACTGCTACAGTGCGCCGCTTGGGAGTGCGGCGGTGCTCCCACCGAGGGTTCAGATCCCACATGCAGACCGGTTCCCGCTCACTGGCTGAGCGAGGTGCGGGCGCAGCACCGAGGTTTGCGATCCCGTTGCCGGACACGAAAAAAAAAAAAAGAATTCCACAAGTGTTAACTCCTGGACTTGTGCAATGTGACTGAGTTACCATTACTCCTAAGCAACTAGAAGTAAATACAAATCCTCTCTGGATGAACTTAACTTCCAACTGCATAAATTTCCCACAGATAAAGTTTCAAGGAATATGAGCTCACTGATAAAAATCACTAAACATGCACGCAAATTAGATAGTAATTGCGAAAGCCAGCAAAGAAAAAGGAAACACACGCACAAAGCAGTCAGGCTTGGAAAAAGTTCAGATATTAAAATTATCAGACAAAAAATAAAGATAAAAATGTTTCATATATTTTGAGAAATAAAACATTTTAAAATATGAGCAAAAAATTATTTGAATATTGATGAATAATTTAAATAACCGACCAAATAGAACCAAGTGGACTTTTAGAACAAAAGAACAAAATAACTAAAATTACAGTTCAATGGGAGAAATAAGTTCAAGAGACCTGTTGTTACATAGCAGGTTGACTATAGTTAATGACTATATATTGTACTCTTGACGACTGCAAGAGAGTAGATTAGAAGTTTTCTCACCACAAATACAACAACTATGTGAGGTAATGCATATGTCAATTAGCTAGATTTAACCATTCCACAATGTAGATGTACTTCAAAACACCATATTGTGCACAATAAATACATATAATTTTATGTGTCAATTTAAATAAATTTGAAAAAATTTTTTTGACATATTAAAGAGCATATTAGATAAAGATAAAAAGAAATTTGGTGTAAAAAACGATAGTATCGAAGAAAGTATCAAGAATGCAGCTCAAAGAAAAAGTTGTGGAAATATAAAATGGCATTTAAAAGATATAGATAATGTATTGAGAGGTCTAAAATAACAGAGAGAATGAGGATGAAGAAATATTTCTTTCAAAATTGTCAAAAGACATCAATCTTTAGATAGAGGAATCTCAATAATTCCAAGCAGGAATTTTTTTTTTTAAAGTCATATTAGGCACATCATTGTGAAAATGCAAAATATCAAAGAAGATCAGATCTGCACAGCACCAGAAGGAAGACAGATCATCTACACAGGAATGACAACTAGACTGGCAACTAACATCAGTTGAAAAACAAGCCGAATTATATACCCAGAAAAAATGACAAGAGCAAAATAAGAATGTATTCAGACAATCAAAAACTGAGAGAGAATACCCTCAAAACACCCTCAATAAATGAAATTGTAAACAGAGATGAAAGACCACTGCAAAGATAATGGTTTAAAAATTGCCTGCTTAAAACAGTAACAATAATGACTCATTTGGAGGGTTAAACAATGTAAACTAAATTTGTAAATACTATTGCCATTATAGAGTCTTGTTACAAGATTATTTTCTTTCAGAGGAATGAATTAAACCTTTTTTAACTAATATTCTAAATACAATGGATATAAAGATTACTACTAAAAAAATTTGGAAGACTTGAATGCACCAGTCCTTGGAAGCCACATTCCATCAGACATCACCATGTACTGCCCCTCCTTGAGACAGTCATCTGGTGCTACTCTGCCACTTCTCCAAACATCTTAAAGATTTTATCACCTGAATGACCGGCTTCCTCTCCACCACTCTTAGAGACATCAACATCCATACAATTGATCAGTCCAATTCACTGGACCCTGTGTTCCTTGATCTCTATGATTTCAATAATCCTTTCTTCCACCTCACTTTAACGGCAACACCTGAGCCCTTGTCATTACCAGTAACTGTCAGTGTTCCTCTCTTTGGCAACCACCTCTTATCCTTCCAGTTTACTGACCTTTGTACACTCAATCCAACAATTCTTTGATCCTCATCAAATTTTCACTGTACACCACTCCCCTTATGCCCTCATTTACCTACATACTCAGGTTAGAGGCGGTAGTCACTACAGTAACTATTATCAGTCCCTAGCAACCAGCACCAACTCCTGTTTCTATCTTACTTTCCTGGCAAAATTATAATTTCAGTTAAACCAAACTCTGTGCTGGCTCCATATCACCAATATAAGAGTTAAAAATGGCTGAAAACACCACTCCATTCTGAACAGCCTCACTTAAATTTATAGCCTCAAATCTCAAATGGATCATTTTCCACTTCCTGGCAGCTATATATATTTTTTAGTTAATTCAGTCTCTTACTGTTTTGTTCTCTCATCATCTTTTCTCTCTACAAACCTCCTATAAGCCCTTCCCCTCCTTGTTCGAAGCAGATCAACTTGCTCATTTCATTGGGAAAATTAAAAACATTAGAAGAGAACTATATTATCTTCCTACCACAAATTTTCCTTTAACTGCCTTTCCAAGCCCTCTCCCTACACTTCTGCACTTGATTCCATTCCTCTTGTCTATTCAAAGACTTTACACTTTAAGTTATTTAGATATACATGTGAACACGCACACACATTGTAATTTATATCACATTTTAAAAAGTCTCTTTTGATTCCACTTGCTCCTTCAGATATCAAAAGTTCTCATAACTTGCCCTTACTCATTTTCTGCACTTTAACTTTCATTCTCTCTTAATCCCACTTCTTTTTTTTTTTTTTTTTTGGTGTCCAGCAACGGATCGCAACCCTCAGCGTCGCGCCCGTACCGGACCGGGACCGGCAACAGGATCGCAACCCTCGGTGTCGCACCCGCACCTCGCTCAGCCAGTGAGCGGGAACCGGTCTGTATGTGGGATCCGAACCCTCGGTGGGAGCGCCGCCGCACTCCCAAGCGGCGCACTGTAGCAGTGCGCCACCGGGCCGGCCCTTAATCCCACTTCTGTTAGGCATTTTTACCCATTTTTTTTTCTGTGAAAACTACTCCTTTGAAGTCACCAGTGACCTCCATCTTGCCAAACCTCTAATCAATTACATTCCCTCATGTCACCTCACTCTTCAGGAGAATTTAACATAAGAAATAAATTCCTTCTACTTGAAAATCTGTATTCACTTGGCTTCCAAGATATGTTTTTCCAGTTTTCCTCCTACCTCACTGGTGACTTCTGCTTAGTCCTTGGTTGGCTCTTCCTTGACTTCCAAAGTCTGTGTGTCATATTGCTCAGGACACAACTGTAAGCTTTTTGACATCTCTCTCTACACTCACCCTAATGTGACTATATTATCCCTTGACTTTGAATACCAGAGATATGATGATGCCTCCAAATTGTGTATTCAACTATGGATCTTTTCCCTTTGCTTCAAACTTATTTATCCAATTACCTTAATGATAAGCACTTGGGCATCTCAAATATATTTAAAACAGAACTCCTGAATTTTCTCCAAACTGACCTCCTTCACTGGACTTTCCTCATCTCAGTAAATGGCATCACCATTCCCCTAGATAATCAGACAAAATCTAAAAGTTAATCTTGATTTTTCTGTTTACTTCCACATCCCACATATTCAGCAGCAATCTTCTAAAATTGTAAATCATATCATGTTCTCATTTCATAGTTTTCCGATAGCTTTCCATTAAAATTAAATTCCAAACTTCTTAGAATGGCACCCAAATGTCTGCATGATCACCTCCGCCTGTCTATCTTCTTATCTGCTAATTCTCTACCCACAACTCATACTACCTGAATGACAAAAATGACCTGCTCTTCCTCAACCCCATAGTTTCTTCCCACTTCAAGAACTTGGCAATTGATATCCCTCTTTCTAGAACATTTCTCTTTCTCATCCTCATTTTATTTAGTCTTATACATCATATATCTCTGGGAAAAATATGACCTCCTTGGTAAGGCCTTTTCATAGTCTTCCACCTCAAATAGCTCACTCACTGCTCTGTAACTTTCTCCCTTCTTTCCCTGATATCTTTTTCTTCATAGAACTTACTACTACCCCAAATCATATATTTGTTTACTGGTTTATTCTCTGTGACCCTTCTAGAATGTTAAGTTTCAGGAAGGTAGGGATTTTGTCTTGTTTACTGCTCATCTGTACTGCACAGTATGACGGCAGCACATAATATGGAGTCTATAAAAGTCTGTCCAGAGAATGAGTAAACATGTCCAAAATGATGTAGAATGTATTTATAACAGAAAAGAAACTCATAGGTAAAAAAAGAAATAAGATTGGACCAAAAAGCTCTTAGTTGCAAGAAAAAATGGAATTAGTGATGCTATGTTTGAGTTTTATAATTCAGTATAACTTCTAATATTTAAAAATTCTCCCTAAAATTAAAGTTGTCCCTCTGGAGTTGCCTGCCTACCCAGTAGTCAGGATATAAATATACATCCCTGACCCCAGGCTGATATCCTTTGCATTTTTATTCATTTATCCTTAGGGGATAACCAGTTCTGAATCTTTAGGCAAATAAAGCAAGACAGACTTGATGACTTAGTGATTTTGTTTTTTTGTTTGTTTGTTTTTTTGTTTTTTTTTCCTTTTTGTCTTTTTTCGTGTCCGGCAACGGATTGCAACCCTCAGTGTCGCACCCGTACCGGACCCGGACCGGCAACGGGATCGCAACCCTCGGTGCCGTGCCCGCACCTCGCTCAGCCAGTGAGCGGGAACCGGTCTGTATGTGGGATCCAAACCCTCGGCGGGAGCGCCGCCATGCTCCCAAGCGGTGCACTGTAGCAGTGCGCCACCTGACTTAGTGATTTTGGAAGGATGATGCACCTAGAATTTTCCGAAAGAGCACAAAGAGTGTTCCCAACTGTAGGAGTATATTATAAAGCAGATAACTTACAAATAAAAAGTAATGATTATAATCAGTTGGAATAAGTTGAATCTATTTAAAATCTAAAAGTAACAGAAATAATTTAGTACATGACAATACTATAAATGGAAGTTACCTAGAGTATGCTAAAAGATTGTTGTTTGGCATACATAGTTTTAATGTACATAGATAAACTTCTATTAATACAAATAAATTTATAGAGCTCTACACAAAATTTTAATCAACATCTAAATTACCATCCACTAGTGTTTGTTGCCCCAAATCAGACATATTCAAGGTATTTTGTTAAAGCCTTACTGTAAAAAAAAGTTATGTCTTTAAAAAAAGGAAAAGGAATATGTATAGATCATCAAAAAGGTAATTTTTATGGGAACTTCATAAAGTTATTTTTCTGATTATTGCACCGTAAGTATGAGAAAATAAAAACTAATCTCAAGTTTGTTCGTAAACTGCATATTTGATGATTAAAACACACACATACACACACACACACACAAAGGATCAATCTTGTATTGATCTTTCCTCTTTGACTGCAAGAGTATTTTATGCTGGCTGGTTTGCTCAATTGGTTGGAGCGTGGTGTTATAACACTAAGGTCAAGGGTTCGGATCCCTGTACTGGCCATCAACCAAAAAAACAAACAAACAAAAAAAAGTATTTTACTTTCAAGCATTAGTAAACTCTGGTTCACTAAACAAGGTAAGGCATTTGAACAAATGATTTACTCCTGTTTGTAATTACCCAGCACTAACACATCACCAAGTTAATGTATCACTCAATGTCTCATGAAACAATATTGAAGAGTGGGCCCTTGTTTTTCTTATGAGAGTAGGTGTACTTATTGTATTCAATAAGATTGTTGGGTTCTGGGCAGAGACAGTTGTTTTTGAGCACATCTTGCTTCAGATGACACCTTGAGACTCATAAAACTCTAGCTTCCTCCTTTGCCAATGGAGCTAAAGTTGGTGGTTCACATTTAGTTCCCAATAAACTTTACAAAACAGAAAAAGAAAAAAATAGTAGCAAACATGATCCAGGAAAAGTCACTAATGTAGATTCCATTGCCCACAATTTCCAACCAGATGGAGAATGCAAAGATCTCGAAACTACCCTACCTTAGGACACAGAGCTGGAAAATAGGAGGATGGGGATTGAACCCTATACTCCACTATTAGGCCCCTTTGTTTCTGAGGAATCTAAGTGACAAGACAACCCAATTATGCCCACCCAAGTGGGTGGGCCAGCAAGCCCTAGGATAAGTTGTTCTCCCCTTCTCTTTATTTTTCTAGCTAGCTTAGGGGACTATTAAATGAGTCCTGTAATAGGGGTCAGGAGACCTATCATCAAACCTCAACTTCACTTCTCATTTAGTATGACTTATGAGTCATCTTACTCAGAGTCCTAGGTCTCTTTGCCTATAAAATAAAGCATTCTATATGTTTTCTAAGATACTTTCCCAAAAGTATCCAAAAGATACTTTCTAAAATTCCCATTTTAAATTACATCTCAAATTAAATTCTCATATCTACTTCTGGTTTATTATCCCTGCCTTAGAATTAAGCTCATACAAACAGATAATAAAACTGAAATTAAATTTACTTTTTCTATGCTAAGTAAAAGATTACATGCATGTGATATTCAGCAAACAAAAAAATGTGTTATAATTTATCATTAAAATAAGGTGTTCTTGATGCTCTGACCACATAAATAGTGAAGTATTTGATAAGCATTCATGAATATGGTGACTCGTTAATATTACAACAGGATCTTTGAAAGTTATTACTTTCCGTCCCATGCTATACAGAGTCCAAAGAGCAAAATATCACTGCAACAATAAATAGAAAGACCCCAGATACATATTATAATTTACACCTTTAGTGATGGCTTCCGGAACAGCATGTACTGTGAAAGGGAAATGGGCTTTACAGTCAAATGGATTTGGGTTCCAATTTCAGCTTTGTAACTTACCAACGGGGTGACCTTAAGCAATTAAACACCCACCAGTTAATGTAAACTTTAGGAGGGCAGGAAATTGTTTTCTTCCATACTGCTATATATCCAATTGGGCCTAGCATATTGTAAATATATGTTGAATATTTGCTGAAAGAAGGAATTTTTCATAGCCTCGGTTTTCATTAGACAATGACAATAATAATAATTTAGTACTTTACTCTAGAATTTAAAAGAGACAATTCGTGTGAAAGCCCATTGCAGTTAGCAAGTGCCTAAAACATGTTTTTTTTTTCCCCGTGACCCACTGTAAAGTATAACTGAGTCACTAAAGAGCAGGTATATTTCTCAAAAATACTTATTTTAGGTACGATATATATAAAAGCAATAAAATATGCTAATAGAAAGTTTAATATCAATTAAGTTTTACTTTAAATGGTAACTCTTGATGATATAAAATGTTCCTTTCATCACTGTCTCGTTCCTGCAATTACAAACTATGTCATTCTCTGTGGGTACTTCCATGTCGTCTCATTGTATTAACTTCTGTACATGGTCTCAAGAGGATACTTTTGCTCATAAGTGAGCTGATTTTCTAGATTTCTATATCTTCAAGGTCAAGGACAGAACCTTATATATACTATCTGGCTGAACCATATGAAATTGCTGGTATTTAGCCATTTATGATCTATAAAAATTGCAATTTCATGTGGTTCATCCAGTAGCTAGTCAATAAACACTTATTTTTTTTTATATGTATAGACAAAACAGTAACTTTACATTTAGTTCTTAATGCTTAGTATACATTATTGAATTGGCCCTATTAGGCTATGCCTCTGATATGTGATTATAAACATAATATAAACAATAAATTAAGATTATCAGCCAAAAATGTCTTGCCTTGTGCTATTTGTTCTAGAATCATTGAAACTGAAATACAAGCAACCCCTTGCTTGCATTACTTCTTTAGATGAGACATGCTTTCCTTACTCACTCAACGATCTTTATAACATCCTCCTGCCCATTCCACCCTCTTTATGAAAACCCAGGCCAATGCTGCCTCCTCTATAAGCCTTCCCCAGACATGCCATTTTTGTGCTCCCACTCTGCACTGCTATCTACACACATACCTTGCTAGAGTATAAGAATCTATTCCTATGAGTATGTCTCTGCTTTTACCTAATTTGAAAGCAAGAAGTTATTCAACCCAAAATTTAAAGGCACATTCAAAGAATCTTTGGTTTCTCAGGGTTTCTCATTTGAGAAATTCACTGATTTTTATCAGAAGCTCCCTTATATGTAAATCAGACTTGCAAGCAAGACTTTGCCCATACTTTACCAGAAAAATCAAATAAATTTCAACGGAACAATGAGGGTTGTTAGGTTATGTAAAATATAAACAAAATGGCAATTATCAGCTATGTTTACTATGTCATTATATCTTATTAAACAGACAAACAAAAATACATACCAGTCTCAGAAGTCCTTACAGAGAGTAAAGAAGATAAGTGATTGCCATGGCCAAATCTGGTATACGACCTTACAGAAATGTTGTAGAGGGAGTAAGGTTTTAAATCCCTTAAAATTATGTTTGTTGCTGAAGTGTTCTTTATAAATAAAGTATCTATATTTTTATAGAGCACTTCATAAGCAACAATAATCCCATTGGGTTTTTCAGGTGGCGACCATTTCAACCCTATTTCATGTGCAGTAACATCAATTACTTCAACATCTTGGGGTGATGATTCTGGTTCTGGAGAAAGAAAACAAAAGTTTAAGTACGTAAGTTTTTTCATGCTTGTTGCTTCAGACACTAAAGGTAACAAGAAATAGAGGCAGTAAATAAGGGTAACACCACTTTCTTTTTTTCTTTTCTTTAAATTAAAACTACACCTAATATTCTTACCATCTTCTGGAGTTCTCACAAAGATGTCATTTTCTTCAGACAAAGAACTTTCTCCAACATGGGTTGAGGCAGCCACTCTCATTTTGTATTTTGTGTATTTCTTTAACCCTGTAATGACAACAAGCAATTTGTTTGAAGTCCTTAAAATAACATTCTTGGTTAGTGCCATTTAACATAGGGCTAGTGAAAATAATTTATTTGGTGGACTGGCTATCTAAATCAGCTTCTATATAATCCCAATTTCCCCAAATTCCTTGAGCTTGAGGGTCTTTCCATGTTAATGATGTCTCAGTTCTTTCCTAAAATATTAAGGCAATAATCTAAAGATGAAAAAATTATTCTTGGCACACTGCAAGGAGTATAGTTGATTTGGCACAAATACCATGCCCACTGAATTACTTCAGGTGATTTTCACATTCATTCATTCAGGTCTTCAATAATGAGTTATTTTGATGTACCAAATATAATATTCCCTGGGTTAAGTAAATTTCCATGAAACTTGTAATCTGACGCTTTTTATTTCTTTGTAGATAAATGCAGTTAAAGAAAAACACATTTAATCAAGTTATTTCTGTAAGCATTTTAAAAGATTTTCATGGCAGCATGGAAAAAATCTAGAATGATACAGCATGTGTCCTGCAGGTTTTAAGACAGAGAGAGAAGCATATTTTCCATCAAAATGTAACGTTAAAAAAAACCTTTTTATTCTACCTGTTATGAGAAAGCTGTTATCTATAGTAGTCATCTGGAACGCTCTGTTTGTATCCAGTTCCATTGCATAAATTGTATAATGAGTTATTTTTCCATTGGGATATTCTGGAGGTTCCCAATATAACAAAATAGATGAAGAACTAATATTTTTATAGTTTATAATTTGAATGGAGCTTGGCACTTGAAAAGAAGAACGAACAATTAATATGAATGAAAAGAAAAAGTATTGCAGAATGCGAGAGTAATGTTTTCAGGTAACTGTTTCAAAGGAAATACATTCTTACCTTGTTCACGTGTCCTAACATTGAGAACCGCTGGTGGCCCTTCTCCCATGATGGTGAAAGCAGATACACTAATCATATGCTCAGTGAAAGGTACAAGGCTCCTGATAACGTAGGACAGCTGTTCACCAGCAATGTCCGTGATATACTGATTCCTCGTAGTCACTATTTGAAATCAGTTAAAAAGAAAAAGTGTTTGACTTCACAATCAAAATTATTTTTGCTCACACAGTAAAATCTTAAACCTGATTTTACATTACTCATTATTCTCTCCATGTACTCCTTTATATAAAAAGTAGATGGATAATTAATAATAAATATAAAAGCATTATTTTAGAGATCATATTGAATTTTATTATGAATGATGAATAATCCCCCAATAATATCTATGAACACTTTGTGCTCATAAGATAGTTTTGCTAGTCATTATACACTATTCTGGAACATGAGATTAGTGTTTTGAGAAAATATAACTTTCTAAAAGAGACTAAATAGAATTTTTTTCTGAAAAGAAAAACCAGGCAATAATATAACATTGAAATATTATAAATCAATACTAGATTTTAATAGGAGAGTTAAAGAAATAAGAGTTTTATTTGAACTCAAAATTCACCATACATTCGCTAAGCCCTATAATTCTTTAAAGCAAGCATACTTGGATAATTGACACATAAACACAAATATGCCTGAACAAAGATTTCAAATGTTAGATTTTTACTTTATTTAAAAATTGTGCTTCCAAAACTCTTAAGTAGCTAATAGACCAAACTTGAAGTATTTAAGGAAATATATGAATCAGAAATCACAGGCCTCTTAATTTTTGATGTTGTCCCCCAGTCTTCTTTGCACAAGAAAAACAGATCAGTAAATACAATAAACATATATTAAATGTAATATAATATTTTTTACTAATTCTACCATAAGTAGAATAATATAACACATTCAATTTGGAATGGGACAAATACCAAATCAGAGAAAAAGCAATGAAAAATATCCTCTTCAGTTAACATTTTAGAAAATCCAGAGAAATAATATAATATCTTTAATTTGTGATATATGACATTCTCCTTTTGGAAACAATAAGATCCACTGACCCTGAAGAGCAAGTGTATATACTAATGACATCACCACGTCTTTGGGGTCACCTACACCTGTTTATCACCCCATGCGCTAGACTTGTAACTTTCTGACCTATTTACCTTTGGTGACATTTAAAAACCTATTAATCAAAAGCTGCAGAGAGTGTGAGGTCTGTAAATGATTTGAAGATATGTTAATCCCTTCCCATCACACCTGCTTTGGCAACTGTAATAACTGATTGTCTATGCAGCTTGGCCAAAGACTCTAGGGTGCTACTTTCTCTAGGAGGAAGGTCAAATGGGTTAGGAGGGGCCAGCTCCTGCCTGTGTGGCATTTCCATTTGTTGCATGAGGTTATCCGACAGTTAAAAATAATCTGACTCCAGCCCATGGATCATTAATAATATGGGTGAACTCTAAACTAAGGTTCATGTCTCTGCTAGCTAGTACTGGTGGTTTAAATGAACTTCATGCAAAATCAAAATTTTACCTACCAACTGGTGAATTCTGGTCTTCAGCTCTGTTCCTTGCAGGGAAGTTATTGTGTGGATGACGGTTAAACATAAATGAAACAAGTGAGTGCAGGTCAGAAGACATCTCTGCTGAACCTTCGTATAATCCTGCCATTGGCTCTACTATGTTCACTATTTCTGGAGCCGTGGGGTCATTTATATACTGTAATTAAAAGTAGACATTTCAAATACTGCTTGTGACAGTTACACTTAACGACTTAAATCAAGTACTAGTTTTAAAAACTTGTAACTTTGGAATGATGCTTTTTTAAAAGATAATATTATTTCCATGGCTATTGTCCTTTTTGCATTCCAAAATTTAATTCTCAAGCTAATAAAACCCTGCATCACTGCAACACACTGTAAACACTTTGTATCTTAAGAGACCAATACTGTATTTTGGAAAGAAGATATTTGTTTCTGACTTGACTTAGTTTCTTTATGGTAAGATTAGACATCCTCATGCAAAGGTCTCATGACTGAAATATTTTAACTGCTTATCCCCAAAAAGGTAAGTGCTATAGGCATACTGACTTATTACAATGTGTTTTGCTTCCCTAACTATATGTCCTCATTTGTATACCAGTTGTGACAGGCCTGCATGCCTGCTTGATATACAGCACATCAATAATAGTAGTTTTTCTATAATCAAGTGAAGTTAAAGACAAGAATAAAACTGCATGCTAATAGTTTTTAAACAGAGTTCATGGCACACCTCTCCAAAGCTTTGAGCCTAATAAATATTTTAAGTAACTGCAATTGTTCCCAGACCACAAAATATAATTCCTACATGTGAATTTCACCAGAGTAGCAGATATTGAAGTGAAAACGTAAGTAGCAGATCAAGAATGTATACAATAGAAGCTTTTGTTGGGATAACAATATGACTCCTTTCTATATCCCCACTCAGCATAATCAATTGAAACAAGATGAGAAAAGGGATGGAACAAATAATATATTTGTGTAGAACGTCAGCTTTGAAAATAAGGCTAAACATTAAACAAAGAAGATGCTGCCGTAAGAGACTTAACAACGAAGAACAATGTGTGGACTCTGGATTCTAATTAGAACATACCTATCAACATAGGCTTGGGAGATAATCAGAGAAATTTAAATGTGGTCTAGGTTTTAGATGATACCAAGATAATATTAGAAATGTTGTTAATTGTTATTATGGCATTATGAATGGATCTCATAATCTCCCCCTGAACTATAATTTTGCATTAAATCCCTCAACAGCCCAAATGTCCATGTTTTTCAGAGATTTGTGGTTAGGCTCACAGAAGCAAAATTATGTAAAGTCTGAAATTTATTTTAAAATACATCTGCAGCAGCAGCAGCAACAATAGGAGCCAGCTGAAAGAAAGGCAGATTGTTGACCATTATTAAATCCAGGTAATGCTTATATCGAGACATTATACTCTTTGTTCTTTCACGCCTGTTTAAAATTTTCCAAAACAAAATCGCTTTTTAAAAAAGAAAATGTTACGAAAACTACTCTCTTTTAGTCAATCCCTTTCTAAGTTCTGCTTAAAAATTCACCCCCAAGAACGTCTTTTTAAAAATTTATTCTATTCCTTATCAATTCCATGCTATTATACCCTCAGAATTTATAATTAGTTCATAATATAGATTTTTATATTGTTTGTAAATTGTTTATAAGTTTTTGGTATAAGTCTTTTAATTACCTTACATGTTTTGGGGTTGTATTCACTTCTAGAGCAAAAAAACAGGTTTTCTATTCCTTATTAACATCAAAGCTCTTAGCATTTTTTAAAAATAGTGGATACTGAGGAAAAAACTCAGAAAGTCAAAAAAATTTTAGAGCAATTTAGTTGATTTAACTATCTACTCAGGAAGGTTATTTAAATATTAATTTTTCTGCAAGATAAAAGAATGGAGAAATGATTCAAGAAAATCTCCCGTCCTCCAGATGATATTTATAAAATAAAATTACTTAAATCTTGTTACATCATTAACCCATAAAGTGTTGGTGGTGAAAAGCAGTGGGATACATAAAATTTCTATTCTAAAAATGTTGTGATAAAGAACTCTGGATATTGAACCTTATATGTGACAGAATAAAGGTCCTCTATCTTCCAACAGCTCACTTGAGCTTTGCCTCCACAGGGAAACTAGGGAGGGCATGAATCACAAACACATAATTCAGAGATGCTCTGGTATTCCAGTCAATAGTTTATGCCCTAACCACACAGCTGTTTCTACTATCAATCAGTCACCCTTTGAGAATCTACCATGTGCAAAGCACTACAAAAGGGACAGAAAGGTAGTACAAAGAATTTCCCTCTGAAGTATAATTTTGCATTCAATCTCTCAATAGTTTCTACCCCATGTCAGATAAATTAAGAGTTAAACCATAGCATCCCACCAATTAGCTAAGTTAAGCATCTCTGTTCAAAACTGTCATTTCAACCTAAGAGTTGACCTGAATACTTTTGACTATGTGGATTTCTCCCAAATCTAGTTGTCATTTGAAAGACCGCACATAACTAGAGCAATGATTGAACATTGGTTTTATAACAACCCAGAATGTTACTAATTATCACCAAGTGTGCCATGTCATGAATATTTCTCACACTTTGCCTTTTTTAAAAGGACATTAGAATAGATGTTAGATTTTTCAAAAGAGAAAAAAGTAGTAGTTTTAAGAGCAAAGTAGGTGGAAAAGAATTAAAACATAAGAGAGTAATGGAAGGGGCAGAGAGAAGCAGGAGTGGAAATGAGAAAATAGAAAAAGAGAGCCTATTGCAACACCTAAAAGCTGAGTTTACTTTGTTGAGCCTTAGGAACAGCATAATTCTTTGAGTTAGTCCAGGGTCTCAATCTCAGCACTACTGACTTTCTGTATTAGATAATTTTCTGTTGTGGGGAGCTGTCCTGTGCGTTGTAGGATGTTTAGCAACATTCCTGGTCCTTACCCACTAGAAGCATCCTTCCAGTTATGACAAGGAAAATGTCACCAAATGTCTCCTGGAGAGCAAAATACTCCTGATTGAGAATCATTGAGTTAGGGAATGTCACAATTCATCAACATGAAAGGTCTTGTGTATGCTACCCAGGAATCCTTGGAATTTATGTGAAAGAATTAGAAGTCTTCGGAGTTAAATTCCTAATCCACCTGAATAAACCAACTTAACTTTACATGTAATAATCTTCATTATAATGAATGTGATTATATATATATATTTTTAAATCCTATTATATCTATCAATTTAGACTCACTAGAAGTCTGCTGAACTGAATTAATAAGCATTTGAGTTATTCCTAAGAAATTCTATATTTTAATATAGACACAATTTATGCTGCTATCAAAAAGTGGTAAAAAGAAAAATTTGCAACTAGCATATGTTTGGAAACCTCCTAAAGGATACTGCACCATTCTACACATTATTTGGGTAAACAAACCCTTAAGGCTTGATTCCACTTCTGTTCCTAATGCTCAACAAAGTAAACTTAACCTAAAGCATTCCTAAACTAACCCTCGGGTTCTGTCCTCAGCCTCATTCTGTAGCAACTGGCCAAGTACTTAGCTGGCTTTCTTGTCACATACAGCAGTGACAGACTTTGATATACTCAAGGAATATGCTGAATGAAAAGATGTATCTGTGTGAATCTAAGAAGTCTGTAATACTAGGCAGCAAGATAATGTCTGTTGGAGAAAAATGTCTCAGGCTTCTAACAGAAGAACAAGTACAGAATGAGATCTGAATGTGAAATTCAACTAAAGAGCAGTCATGGACAGATGACTTCGGGGTTTTTCAAACTTCAGTCTCAGTGAAATGAGGCTCCCAAAGAAATTAATTTTATTCTTTCACTGTTTTGATAGAAAAAGGAACTTTACTCCAAAGTGTCTCAGGCTTCTAACAGAAGAACAAGTACAGAATGAGATCTGAATGTGAAATTCAACTAAAGAGCAGTCATGGACAGATGACTTCAGGGTTTTTCAAACTTCAGTCTCAGTAAAATGAGGTTCCCAAAGAAATTAATTTTATTCTTTCACTGTTTTGATAGAAAAAGGAACTTTACTCCAAAGGAGAAAATAATTCTGCTCAATTTTGCTTTATTCAAACTCCATACATAATATGATGTTCAGTAGACTAAGACGATAATTGACAAGCTGGGAAATATACACAGGCGGGTAATCCATGATGTAAAAGACCTGGACCAGGACTAATGAAAAACTGAGGATATTAGCCATAGGGAAACTATAACCATTGTCTTCAATAATAAAAAGTTAAATTGTTATATATTATTATTACTGCAAAAACTAACATCTTAAGCTATTGTGTATCAAGTAGAGCTCTCAACACTTTACCCCTGTGACTCACTTCATTATACCCCAAAGAGGTAGATGTTATCTCCATTTTACAGTCATCTGCTCAAGTTTACAAAACTAGTGATAGTGGAGGTAGGATTGGAACATATTTTCCTAGCTCCGAATCCCATGCTCACAGCTGTTATAATCCACTGTGTGGGTCTAGAGAGGAGAATCAGGACCAATTGGCAAGCATTAGAGGGCAAATATTTCAGTTCAAAATTTTTACAAAACAGGGTGGTTTCATGTACATCTATATATTTTCTGGATCTAATGGAGTACATAGAACTTCATAGTTACTTAATAGATAGATGCTTGTGGGACCATAGAGAAGAATGTATTATAGCTTATAGAATAGGAGCGGCTTTTGTGTTAGTAAATACCCTATTATTAGAGATGGCCAAATATTTTAGCAGAGGCTGGATTCCCACTCATTTATAAGGAATGTTGTAAATGAGACTCATATATGAGGGTACTGCAAAAGTTAGTGGAAAAATGGGATTAAAATATAATACAAATCCTTCTATGAACTTTTTGAAGATCCTTCACATAAATTTGGAAGTTGAAAGTCCTTAAACCCTGAGATTCAATTTTTTAATATATTTTTCAAATACTTGTTTAAATATCAAAAGTGGAATCTGATATATAGTTCAGCTTGTTTAAATAACCCCCATTTATTAAGAAACAAATAGATCATGAAGAGTCACTGGAAAAAATTTCAATAAGTGATAAGATCAAATCAAGCTTAGCATAGCAGAATTGTATTTTAATGTTTTTAAGTTTATCACTATGATATATGCACATGGCTACAAAAACAAAAACACAAA